AACCCACCAATGATACTGCTTGATATAAAATAAGGTAGCTCCAAGTTCTCTGTAAATTCCACATTTAGATATTTCTAATTAACCTGTTCAGACAAGACATACTTCTGGAGCAGATTAGACTTAAATTCAGGCCTCCTGGCGTCAAATGTATAGACGTTACAATTGTGCCACAAGAACTCCCAAATGGTACAGTAGGATTAAAAGGTTTTATGGTCAACTCCTGCTCCTATTTCCTATATTTAATTGTGGTTGAGAATATGGTGGTGAACTGGCTTCCTGAATCAATTGTGTTAGCCCACTGCTGTTAGGTAGGAGTTCCAGGATACATTTCCAAGTTGTGTTGATTTAGGACTTACAAGGAGTCTTGTAGATGGAACTGCTCCCATGTGCTTGCTACCATTGCTCTTCTACACAAAAGAAGTTACAGAATTGGAAGGCACTGTCAAAAGAGCCTTGGTGAGTTACTGCAGTACTTCTTGTGGACAGTATACATTTCAGTCACAATTCACCAATAGTGGATGAACTGAATGTTTAAAGTGATAGATGAGCTGCCAATTGCTTTGCTCTGCATGGTGTTTACTTCTTAACTGCAACTGGAGCTAGATCTCACTCCTGACTTTTACTTAGTAAATGCTGGACAAACACTAAGGAAGCTGGAAGTGAGTTATTCACCACAGAATGCCCAACCCCTGACCTGCTGTTTTAGTCACAGTATTTATACGGTTAGTCTACTTAGACTTCTGGTCCAAGTGTCCTGTAGGATGTTCAAAGATGGGATTTCAACAATGGGAAAGCCTTTGAATGTCTTTGGGGGACTGGGATGAATATTTATATTTTCTATTTGTCATTATCTGATATAGGAGCTTGTATCCATCGCTTATCACCCCAAACCTTAATACTTTGCAGATCCTGCTACATGTGAACCATATCATTAGCTTAGTTCCAAATAGAATTGAACACTTTAATTCATAATTCTGACTTTAAGAGTAACAGAAGATGGTTCGGCCAATAACATGACCCTAAGGAATTCATTCTGAAATGTCCTGTAACTGACGTGTTTTGCTGCCAAACGCTGTTTTTATTTGGTAAGGTGACTCCAGCCAAAGAGTTTTGTCCTTGATTCCCATTGACTTCAATGACAGTCAGTCTCAACTAGTCTCTGAAACTTAGCCCATTTATCCATATTCAGGCAGGTGCTGAGTGATTATGGTGGAACTCATACTGAGCATTAACCTCTTGTTAGCTATGTTGATAATCTCTTCTATCACTTTGTAGGCAGCTGGAGAAGGGATTTAATAGGCCAGACTGGACTTATTGTGTTTTTATAGACCTAGGCAGTTTCCCACACTATTGGTAGAAGCCGATGTTGTAGCTGAGCAAGGACAGCTTGGCTAGGGCACCATTTTTGTACAGCCAATGTCCCCTGTTATTTCTTCATGCCTTGTGGGTTAAACTAAATTAGGAGAAGATTGATAGATCTGCCTGACAAGCAGCCGGGCTGATTAGGAACCAAAATAGAAACCTAATGGTGGTAAATGAAGGCATAGCTGAGGTACAAAATCAGTGCTTTCATGATTGGAAGAGGAATTGCCAAAAGCATGTTAAAGAGGAAGGCTGTTAGGTATAGGATAATTGGCAGCACATAAAGTGGATGTATTATTCACTGCAGATGGGATTCTTCTTTGGGTGCTGAGGGAAGTACGCATAGAAGCTGCTGCCCTCAATTTTCCAATGCTCCTTAAATACGTGAGGTCTGAAATATTACAAACGTTACACCTTCATTCAACAGAAAGGTAGAAGGATAATACCTAAACATTGTAGGATATCATTTGACGTTAATGGTCAAGAAGATTTTAGAAAGATTAATGCAGGAGAAAATTAACAGTTACATGAGAGGTGTGGACGAACGAAGAAACAGCATGGACTTGTCAAGGCCAAATTGTTTTATTAACTCTTGAGTTTTTGCTGAGGTTGCATGAAGGTATTGCTCAGAGACAGCAAGAACTGCTGATGCTGGAGTCAGAGATAACACAGTGTGGAGCTGGAGGAACACAGCAGGCCAGGCAGCATCAGAGGAACAGGAAAGTTGACGTTTCAGGTTGGGACCCTTCTTCAGCTGTGTGCACGTAATATAGTACCTTGTAATAGGGTTTATCATCAAAATTGAAGCCCATGGGATAAAAGGGACAAGCAACATGGATTGAAAGTTACGTAAGGGATAGAAACAGTTATGGTGAGAGGTTTTTCAATGGGATATACAGTGATGTGCCTCAGAGTACCATTCTGGTGCTACTGCTTTTCATATCTGCTAATCGTTCAGATTTTGCGAGGACTGGGTCCCGATATTGAAATTTGTAGATTACATAAAGACTTGAGATGCAAGAAACAGTAAAGAAGATGATGATAGACTTTAAAGTATTCCTCTGGTGGAATGAGGGACACAAGATGTATGAAATTCAATGCAGAGAAATGTGAAATTGTTTCTTTTTTCTAGTAAGAATGGGAAGAAATAATACAAGCCAACACAAATTTTAAGAGTGTGCATGAAGAGTGACATCGGAGGTGCTAGTGTACAAACCTTTGAATTGGCAGGATATAGTAACAAAGCAGTTACTGAAGCATATGGGATGCTGGATTTTATAGACAGGGGCATAGACTAAGGTTCCGCACAGTGGAGGTTCCTCACCAAACAGCCAGATGTCCCAGCAATGCCATCAGGAATGTTGGCATTTGTCAGAACTGCATTTGTCCTCAGACATATCTTCAGCCCAAAGTGCAGGGAAGTGGGCTCAAGGCTAACTGGAGTTGATCGGGTTTGTCCTGGGAATAAGCGAGTGTCAATCATGAGTTCATGGGGGTGGGGTCTTCAAATGAAGGGGGCCTTTGTCACTGGTATGGCTGTCTCTGGGCCACAGATTTAGAAATCAGGAGAAATCCCCTCCCAATGCATTTATGGATATAATTTCAAGGTCGGGTTTCCAGTTGTATTTGTGTACGGATGTAATATAGAAATGAATGGGGAAGGAAAACCTTGTATTGTACATGATGGCTTCAGAAAGGCCACAGGAGCGCAAATGCTCAAAAACAACTAAGTTGAATCACAGATGGAACATGGGTTTTGCAAAATAATAATCTAGCCAAGGTTTGCAGTGCAGTAACAAGTAGGACTAAGCAACAAAACGTTAGGGACAAAGAGAAAATTCATTAATGTTCTTAATATAAGAAACATTCAGACCTAATAAACTGGAAAGGGACTAATCAAGTGTTGTAAAGGGTTGCCTCTTGAAATGTAGCTTGTGCTTATTCAGTTTAAGACCATCATCTTAGGATTTCACTAAAACTATAGGCAGTAAAAGATGCCTCAACTTCACTGAAATGCTACAATTAATTCTGCAATTTCTGATTGAGAAGAAGGTCAATAAGTTTGATGTTATGCAAATTAAAATTGTGTGAACTAAGCAGGAATACAAACAGAAACAAAGATGTATATTGTGTTTTGTGCCTCAGAGACATGTATACATAACTATCACTAGATTTGTGTGTGTGAACAAGAGCTTTTAAAAGATCTGCTTTCTCATACTTACTGCTGCTTTCACCTTCTCTTCTCCCACAAGCATGACTTGCAGTACAGTGAGCAGTCAGCACACTCAAACGGCAAGTGCTATCACTACAAAGTGAATCTTGGATGCTATGAATTTGTACTTGGCATTGTTGAGTATCAAATTGTATTGTGCAAATCGAGGGAACATCACTGATAATGTCCTGCTTTGTCCTTTCCATGGACCACAATCACTACAAATTAGTTGAGCATTCCCCCAATGTCTTACAGACTGAAGAAAAGCAGTAAACGCTGGCTATAGTGATTGTAATGAAGTCAGCCGGGTGGACCTTATAGAATACGAGTTGCCTGTTTGAGGCTGTTAATCTGGTCCAATCAGGGAGCCCTGGCTGACAGATAAGAACAGGAATGTCAGACATCCAGTTCACTCTGAGAGCTGGCTGAAAGGGAGCTGGATCAGTGTCAAAGACTCCATGTGTAAATAAATGATGATTTTCAGAAGATTTGTAGTTCTGTTTGTGGATGAGGTTGCAGACTTGCTCGCCGATCCAGTGTGTTTGGTTGCAGACGTTTTGTCACCGTGCTCGGTAACATCACCAGTGCGCCTCCGATGAAGCGTTGGTGTTCTGTCCTGTTTGTTATTTATATGCCTCGGTTTGCTGGTGTGTTTGGCATCACTTCTGGTTCTGTTTCCAGTGGTTTTTATATCGGGTCCAGTTCAATGTATTTGTTGATGAAGTTCTGGTTGGAATGCCAGGCCTTTGGGAATCCCCAAGCATGTCTCTGTTTGGATCATGCTATTATGGATGTGCTGTCCCAGTCAAATTTGTGTCTTTCTTTGTCCGTGTGTATTGAAACAAATACACAACCAGTTGTCACTGGTTTCAATACACACGGACGAAGAAAGATGCAAATTCAACTGGGACAGCACATCCATAATAGCATGATCCAAACAGAAACATGCCAGGGAATTCCCAGAGACCTGACATTCCAACTGGAACTCCATTGAACTGGACCCGACATACAAAGCACTGTAAAACAGAACCAGAAGTGATGCCAATCACCCCAGCAAACTGAGGCACATAAATAACAAGCTGGACAGAACACCAACGCTTCACCGAAGATGCACTGATGAAGTTACCTAGCAGGGTGACAAAATGTCTGCAACCAAACACACTGGCTCGGCAAGCTAGTCTACAATCTCAAATAAATGGTGACTTGGTGATGGGATACTGGCCTCTGAAGGGTTACTTATGAATGAGGAACCTCAGCACAAAACTACACCGACAGAATAAAAGTCAATAAAAGAGAATGTTTGAGCAAAATAAAATACGTGATTTTACATAGGTGTCAATTCATTTCTGTGATTAAAAATTCCAATAAACTAGCTTTATAATACTGTTAACTTTATTAATTAGTAAAAGATTTGACATTCAGCAATCTAAAGAAAATCATACATTTTTAACATGGCAATGGAGACTTTGCATGAAATATTTAACAACTAATTTGCAGAAATTAAGAACGTTTCCAGAAAAGGTGCAGCTCTTTTTAGCATTTTAACCTTTTAACCTGCATTTGGTTCCCTGACATCTGTACAAATTTTCCCTTACAGGATCCTTCCAAAAGAATCTGGCAGCTTAATGGCATCTCTCAGCCATAGGTTTGTATTACTGCCACATGTGGCTTTCCTAAGTATACCCAAGAATTAATGTTCAGCTAGTAAAGGAGTCCAATGCTCTCACACAAGCACAGATTGAAAAATTCTCCTCCAACTTATATTTTTTTTGAAATTGCCAGGGAACCATCAGTGGAACTTTAATCTTAACCAACTGATATGGAGTAGTAGACACATCAGAGATACATTATTTTTTAAAAAGTCTCTCAAGATGGGGACATCACCCATAAGCCCAACATTTTACTGCCTATCCTTAGTTGCCCTGAGACGGTTTCTGATGCAACTGAATGGCTTATTAGGTCATGTCAGGGGGCACATTGACTGGGAGATTGAAGTTACATAATGGCCACACAAGCTAAGGATAGTAGTTGGTTTCCTTCTTTCAAAGGTTAGCTCCATGAAGACCTAGATCTCCACTAGGCACTGAAGTTACAATCAAAGCCCTGTGAGCTGGATTCTGGATGCTAATGTCCAAGTACACCCAAACATTATTAATCTACTCCTGGTCACAGGACTCACATTTTACAGCTATATATGGTTTGAATATTAAAAGAAAATGGTGCATTGGCAAAAGTGATAAAGCCAGCTAATCATATCTGAGTGATGCACAATAGCTTAGACACTCTGCTTCACACTGGCATTTCTCAACTACTTTAAAATAACAACACAGAAGTAAACATTGTTCCTTAATGAAAAGCGATGTTGGTCATTAGCCTTCTATTGGCCTAGAATCAGGAATAGTCACTAATTCTGTCAAGTGCTCAACGTACTTATTCTTCCAGAAATTTAATTATAGATTCATATTCAGAAGTACAAATTACTTAGAAATTAACATTGTGTCTGACCTTGGAATGAACACTGGAAAAATATTCCTATCTGTTTCAGTCTTACTTTTTGTAAATACAACCAAAATGGTTTCAAGGAATGAATGGGCCAATTCTGTAATGTGATAAAATCACATCACATTGTCTCTCTAGTCATCAAGTTGGGTCCCTCAACTCCAGTACATTTGATTATTAGCATTTCTCTTCACAATTGAACCACATTGCAAAGATGTCCCATACCTTATTAACACTGTGATTAAAATTGTCCTGATCATTTCCGTACTTCGTGCGGAATCGCAAAGTTAGATTATTGTTAAAAATTCCAAAGTCATGTTGCATTGCCTTTTCAGATAAAATTAATATGTCTAGGGTTTCAGAGACGTCACATTGAAAAGACACACAAACATATTGGGCTAAGGATTAGCCAGAACGTCTCTGGTACTTTGGACTACACTAGAATTAGTTACACAAACACTACTTGGATACATGCGGAGGGGGTTGCTAACAACGTACAAGATTTGTAACATACTTTTCAGTTCAGTAAAGAGTGCTGAAACACAAGATACAATGTCCATGCTTTGACATTTACACATATGGCTTGTTTAGCACTCGGGTTTAATAAAAGTTGGCCCATTTGAAAATGTACGCGTGGCATTTTTTTTTCTCTAGTGGTTACAGAAAAGACAAAATTTGACATTATAACATGAAAGCGCTTTCTGCTTCTGCGGCACACAGTCACTTTGTAAAGGGGAGAAGGCAGGACAATACTGAAAGTTATGCACCAGTGCACATAAGGGTGTTCGTAAGCATAGGACTGAACACCCTTTTCCTTCAGGCATTCTGTTATATCCACTCTTTTGTTTCCAATTTCAAAAGGAACAGTCAAGAGAATTAAGGCTGTCGCTGATTCATTCACTCTCACACGGCGGACGTGGCTGTGGGTTCGCTGTTGAGGGTTTCAACGATGTCATCCCTTTTCAGTTTCCGTAGGGCAGTGCAAAGTGCGTCCGTGGTGGCAGTGTCCTTGGCTGCCCAGTCGGAGAGGAGGGCACGCACTGGGTGTTCTTCCTGCTTGAAAGTGTCTATATGTTCCTCATTATATCCCAGCAAACCAGCCAAGTTGCACCATTCTGCATCCTCCTCACAATTATTCAGCAGTTGCTCTACCTCTTCCTGCTTGTGTGGAGGGAGAGCAGTGTAAAGGATTGGCTCAGCTCGGGCAGCTACAAACAGAACACAGAGAGAGAGAGAGAGAGAGAGACCATTAAATGACAACAGTAGTGAAGATACCTCAGCATATCTTTATATATAAATTCAAACACCTTGCAGCTGTTGGAAACAACAGATATGTCCGATGCAGGGGATAAGTGAATAAATAAAAAAACCACTCCCTCGTACATGCACAATCAATGAGGTTACTCCTTAACCACTTCAGTGTTTTAAGAGACTAACTGGTCAAATCAAACATTCAAGACATCAATAAGCAGCAATACTTCCGTGAGACCAGCAGATCAAGTTGTGTCAACACTGTGAATCTGTCTTTGAAGCTATTATTTCAAACCACATCAAGCATCTTTTAATCCATTAATATTCATAAAATTCAATATTCATTGCTTTCAGATTTCAACAATTTTCACCTAACATGAGGCACCCACATAGCTTCCTGGCACTGGTTGTGGTTAGTAAGGGTTCCATTCACGAACGAGCAAACATTGCAAGGGGAATAGAGGAAGTCATTCATTTACAGGCAGGGGTGAATGGGCAGTGTGGAACTGAAAAGAGATGAGTGAGATTCACTAATAACAGACACCCCGGAAGTAAAACTAACGTTTGAGAAGGGCGGGCAGTTGAAGGTGTTTCATACAAAGAGGCAATGACTGATACTTCAACCGACCCTTCAAAGTGTGGGTAGCTATTAAGTTATCCAAGAGTCCATAACTTTACTCCCCATGGTCGGGGAGTCTAAAACTAGAGGGCATAGGTTTAAGGTGAGAGGGAAGAGATTCAGAGGGGTCCAGAGGGGCAATGTTTTCACACAGAGGGTGAGAAATGTCTGGAACAGGCTGCCACAGGCAATGGAGGAGGCAAGTACGATTTTGTTATTTAAGAAACATTTCGACAAGTACATGGATGGGATAGGTATGGAGGGATATGGACTAAATGCAAGCAAATGGGACTAGTTCAATTGTGAAAACAAGGCAGCATGGACAAGGTGGGCCGAAGGGCCTGTTTCTATGCTGTAAACCTCAATGACTCTAAATGCGAGGGCGTCCTGATTAAAATACACTGAAAATAAATCCAGGCACTGAGGTCTGCTCTTGTAAATACATCAAAAATAATGTATGTGGAGAACCAAACATTCCTGTAATCTGGTTAATTCTTTTTATTATCCAAGTTTTATTTAATTAGTGAGCGAATTTGAGCTGTATTGAACATTGAAAATTATACCTGTTGTGAGTCAATTATCTTTGGCCAATAGTGTAATGGAGAACTATCCATTTAAAGTAAACAGGAAGACAAAGCAGAAAAGTAGAGAGTCAGTTATCCCGTTTCAATGACCCACATGGTTTCTGTTCTTAACATATTGTCTTATTTTTCATTAGTGTATCGTGTATAAGCAAGGTAATACGTTATTCCTAAACAAAACAAGAACAAAAAAACTGCAGATGCTGGAAATCAGAATCGAAAACAGAAATTGCTGGAAAAGCTCAGCAGGTCTGGCAGCATCTGTGGAGAGAAAGCAGAATTAACATTTCCAATCCAGTCACCCTTCCTTCGAATGGACCATGAAATTTACTTTATTGTTATTAGCATTAGATCTGAGGCCAAAGTGTTATACTGTTTTGGTCTCCAACCAGCCTATGATAAACATTCAGGTGGAGATGGTGTTGTCACTGAATTGGTAGTCCAATGGCCCAGGTAAATGCTATGGGGATATGGGTTCACATCCCACTACAGCTGTTGATGAAATTTGGACTTCATTAATAAAATCTGGAATTCGAAGTGAATAATGGTGACCACACTGTTATTGCCAATTGTTGTAAAATCCTATCTGGTTGACAGATGTCCTTTTAGGGAAGGAAATCGGTCATCCTCATCTGGTTTGGCCTACACTTGACTCCAGATTGAATTAACTGCGCTCTGGAAATGGCCTGATAAAACATTCAGTTTAGAGGCAACCGAAAGAACTGCAGGTGCTGTAAGTCAGAAACAAAAACAGAAGTTGCTGCAAAAGCTCAGCAGATCTGGCAGCATCTGTGAAGAAAAATCAAGAGTTAACGTTTCCGGTCTGGTGACCGTTCCTCAGAACTGAGCCTTTCCAGTTTAAAGACAATTATAGATAAGCAACAAAAGCTTGCAAGAAATTTTAAAACAAGTTGCAGGTCAAGTAGCTTGAATTAAACTTGCAATGCATCAAGACTTAATGAGAAACTGGGCCACGCAAAATTTCACCAAGCCAAGTATTCCCACCCTCTCTCTCTCCACGAGCACAGTTGTGGTAGAGCAGAGTCCCGAGGGATTTGTTCCCATGCTAATTTAGGAAAAAGGCAAGAGCTTCCCGAATTGACTGCCTGCTTTGGGACCTACACATTGGACAGCCTCAGTGTACTTCTTAATAAACCACTTCTCAGCTGAATATTGACAATAGCTTGTTCACATCTGACAGCTCATTTTCTATTAGTAAGTAACCCGTTAAGAGGTCAGAGCAGGCCATCTGTTTTCAGTGCTTCATTACGTGTGTTGGCATGCAATAGGCACTTGATTATAGAGTAAAAAGACAGCACAACAATTTAAATTGCAGTTAATCAGCATGATCCAATTCTTCCAGGAAATGCATTACTATCAACTGACGGGGTCAGAACTATAATAAGGGCAGTTTCACAGAACGTCAAATAGTCAACTATTTTGTTAATTACAATGTCAAATGGTGTGTATCGTTTTGTTTTCATTCATTCATGGGATGTGGATATCACTAGTCAGACCACTATTTATTACCCACCCCCTGGACGTCCTTGAGAAGGTGGTGTTGAGCCGCCTTCTTGAACCACTGCGATCAGTGTGGTGTATACACACCCACAGCGATGTTAGGAAAGCAGTTCTAGGATTTTGATACAGCAACAATGAAGGAATGGCGAAACGGTTCTAAGTCAATATGGTATGTAGCTAGGTGGGGGACTTGAATGTGCTACAGTGTTCCCACGCACCTGCTGTCCCTGTCTATCCAGGTTGGACAAGTCATGTATTTGGAAGCTTGTGTCAAAGGAAAGTGAGTGCGTCAAGTCTTTCACTTCTTGTTACATCCTATTAAAAACCCTGAACTACATTCAGGAAGAACAATAACAGTTTTCTTCCATTCTGCTCCTTAATCAGACCCAAAAAGTGATTGCAACGAAGTGGAAATTCTTTGCTCCCCTTTCTCTCCTGAATATTGTTGCACATAAAACTTCTGCTATATCTTTTCTGAAGTCTGCATTTAAATTCTGTTACATAAGAAGGCATTGTGCCTACATTTCCTCTTGTGGAATTCTGGACCAAACCATCTCCATAAATGTTTGGTACTTCTGAGCTGATATTTAGCCCCTGTCAGCCTCAAGAAACAATCCATACCTTCAAGGATTTTTTTTTAAATTTATTGATTTTAAAAAATAATACCTTTAAATGCTTCAGGACTTACAGATTATTGCTCCCTTCCATTGCTCATCTTAAAGTACAATGCTAAATACTATGATACACCATTCTTTTTGTAATCTAGTTTATTTGGAGGAGTATACAAGCAAACGGCTTTTACCATGTCACCTCCGAAAAAAAGTTCCTGTTTTCATACAAGATAGCAATGATCTCCAATCTTGCTGATGTTATAGCTTTGACTATCCAACACAGCAAATTGTCAGGTTGTGGAATTCATTTCTGGGATTACTGTTCAAGTTAGAAGCTGGGCCACCTTTGAAGAAGCAGATTTAATAAGTGGATGAAGGAAAAGTGGTTAAAGAAATGTTGGAATGAGGCAAAGGTATGCAAAATAGGACAACTTACTTGTATGAATAGTAAATGTATACAGACAGGTTAATGTGTTTTAATCTCTTATGCATTTTCTAATATTTCATAACTACAATTCCATAACCACCCTCTAAGTGCTTGGCACCATGATGATATGTCTCATAATCTCCCCACAAGGCAGATCGTGGAGCACCTGTTTTTGCTTCATTCACAATCTGGAACAACAAGCATCGTGAACACATTGACTAAGGAAGGAGAATTAATTGCAATGCAAGTACTGCATAATTAGTGTCAAAAGATAACAGAGTCAATAATAGTGCCCTGAAATGCATACATGAAGCTGGTCTTGTTCTACGATTTGTTTTAATTCATTCCTGAGACATGGGCTAGGTCAGCATTTATTGCTCATTTCTAATTGCCCAAAGGGCAGTTCAGAGTCAACCACAATGCTGCAGGTCTAAAGTCACTTTTAGGCCAGACCAGGTAAGGATTGGATTTTATTAATGAACCAAGTGGGACAACCACTTTGTTAATTCCAGATGTTTTTAAAGTGAATTCAAATTTCACCATCGTCCATGTTTGGATTTGAACATATGTTCTCAAAGCATTAACCTGAGCTCGGGATGACTAGTCCAGTGGCATTACCACTACACCACCATCTCCCTATCTTCAGGGCAGCTGTGTGGCTGGTATGTTTTCAGTGATGAAATGGGGAATTCTATTTCCCAAGCATGTTGGGAGATCTGGCACACATCTTATGTGGTTTAATCTAAGTTCAATTGCTATGACAGTCAGTGAGAAAGAAAGAAATATCGTGTATTGAAAGGGATTTGTAGGTGTGGCTGTAATGACTGTGTCCCTTTATTGACAAATCCTTTGGAATCTATTGTCACTGGATATCTAACTATAAATGTCTGGGCTTGTAAAATTGGGTGGTCCTAAATAAACTCACAAGGTCCCATCTGCTATGGCCAGATGGATATCCATATAAGCTGTATGTGATAAAATATTCATTGGGGTAACAGATGGAAAGCAGCTTTAAGAAGCAGATTCCTTATTACTGAACTCAATGTGACTCTGCAGCAAAGAACTGTTACTAGGGGACAAAAATGCCAGAGCAAATGGAAAATTTCTTCCACCACCCACTCCTCCACCCCCAACAAAACCAGCTCCCCCGAGGAACTGACTATAAGAAATATTGTACATGATACTGCAATACTGCTTT